GCAGTGCTTATAAGGCTGAGTTTCACCTGAAACTCATCAGACTGAAGAAGTCTCTTGGACGAGAGACGAAACGTTTCACTAAAGAAGAACCCGTCCAGAGGACCTACTTATTTTTTCTTTTAACGGGACAATCCATAAAACCTGACAGGAACCTATTAAAACTTTTAAATGTATTGCTGTGAACACAAACACCAAAGCTGATCCAGATTAGTGAGTCTGGACAAACCTGCTAAACTTGCTAACACACCCACTCTGTTCACGTGAGCCATAAAACAAGTCAAGACTCTTTTGTTCATAACAGCCACTGTATGTGAGGGTGAAGGTTCCCTACACTCCTCCGAGGAAAGCCATCTCCGCAAAAACAGGAGATTCAAGCTGACAAGAGAGGCAACTTTGAAAGCAAAGGGTAAGACCATTACTCTTTTTCTCTTCTCTTAATGGCTTTCCTTCGCTTACTTTCCAAGTTGCTTTCATGGCTGAGGAGGGTTATGGAATTTCATTACTCATGATTGAAAACCAATGAAGTTTTGAAAGCAGAAAAGGTGCATTCAAAAATGCCAGGATACCCTCCAGATCCCAGCAATCTAATTTACTGTCAGTGTTAATAAATGAAAGAGCCACCGGATGGCACAGATAAGTTGTTATTTCACCATCAAGGTTATCACGTATTATCTGATAATGTCTGTGGGGAGCAATTGTATCTGACAGTTAAAACAGAAGGCCTCAACTTCTGGCAGGAGTGATGATCGTCAGTGCGGAAGGATTGTTAATGTGTCAAATCAATGCGACTTCACCCCATGAAGTGTTCATAAAGGGACTGAAGATTAGATTGCGGTGCTAACGAGTCARTCGTGTGAAAGATTTTTTTTTGTAAAGTTTCTCCTTGTAATATCTCAAGTTGTCCGTTGAAAAACACGGGGAAGCTTATTCTCAAAATCAGGAGGGTGCAGTGACCATGTTAGGAGACAGATGAGTTGCTGCACAGTGAATTCAGATCATGTCATCAACAGCGTATCTGTTCATGTAAGAATGCTACCTGGCCAGATGCTAATATACGCAAAACAAAAAAATGGAAATGACAAACACACCCTGTGTGTGCAGTGGATGACAATGAACTATTCACTTGAAAGTCGTAAACAAAAAAACAAAGCAAAAAAAAAAACTAAAAATAAAACACAATGTGATTGGCTATGCTATGACATGTCTCGATTCAGAAGGCGGTGTGTCATCATTATGTATTATTTGCATGTTCTCCTCGTGCTTGCTCCGTTTTCTCCGGGTACTCGGATTTCCCCCACCCCCAAAACGTACAATATGTTGCCTTCAGGCCCAGGCCTCACTTGAAAAAGAGATCTGAGATCTCAATGGGACTTGCCTGGTAAAATAACAGTAAATAAATAAATAAATAAAATTATCGTTTATTTATAAAGCACAATAAAAACCAATGTGCCGTACAGGAACACAAAATACAAACAATGAACAAAATACAGTAACAGATTATACAATAAAATCAAACAAAAACAAAGGCTGGCCTAATGAATGTGCTCTTCAGGCTCAAATGCCTGTTTAAACCGATGAGTTTTTAAGTTTTTATTAGTTTTAACTGTAAAACTAATACCGATGCATCTCAATGTGTCGTGATGTATCACGCTTCGAACAAATCCTGAACCTAGAAGTTCTCAAACTTAAAAGAAACAAAAATTATTTTTCTCTGCACTTGTTCTTAAAACAAAATTGTGGGAACTGTGATAAAAAAGAGTCAAAATGCTGAGTCGTAAGATTCTGTGGAAATGGATATCCGTGCATCATGTGTCGCCTATGATTTACACTGCATGTGGCTCCGCTCTGCACATTTTAGTATTTTGCTGTTGGTGCYGTGTGATCTATGTAGACGGATTCTGCACTTGCTTGGACATCTGACAAAAACAGAATCAAATCTAAATGTGGCGGATGGTCGTGCGCACGCTGCCGCCCTGCGGATGCACTGTAAATGTCCTTATCGATTATAATGGGTGCTGAAGTGGACAGACCATAAACTGGAGGTTGGAAAAGCCTGACCCTTGTCRTTCTTCACAGTTCTGCTCAATTCTTGTTTCCCTTCTCTGCTCRGTCTGGGATTTCTCCCATAGACAAGGATTTCTCTGGTAGAATTTCAACCGGACCAATCAGTGAGCAGAAGGAGGAGTTGTGAAAGACGATGATTTTCTGCACCCTTTTATTCTGCCTGTAGTTTAACACTGGCAGCAGAGTTAGTGAATTAAAGGGATCCCCGATTAGTTGTAATATTAGACTTCATATGATAAACATATACTTTGTAAAATAAAGACTGTAAAAATACTGTAGGATGTTCAGTTTTTATTATTTTTAAACTAAAAGTTAAAAAATATATTACAC